TATCCCAAAAGGCTAATAGCTCTAAAATAAAAAAATCTTACAAGTCAATAAAAAAAAGACCCCAACCTGGTAGAAAAAAGGTCAAAAGCTATGAAGAAACAACACATAGAAAAAGAAATACAAATGCATTTTTAATCATATGAAAAGATGAAAATTAAAACTATAAGTGGATACATGCTTTTCTTTTTATAATAGGTTGGCAAGTAGCAAAACATTAAATAAAACACTGTCTTGTTGAGGGTATAGGAAAACAGTCAGTCTCATATGTTACCGATGGGAGTATAAACTGGGACCACATCTATGAAAATCTGCAACAGCTCTTAAGAGTCTAATGCTTGTACCTCTCTACCCAGCAGTATGACTTCTAGGAATTTATCCTACAAAGATTCTCCTACATGGGATAGAAAACTTAAATCCAAGGATATTCACGGCAAAACTGTATCTGATAACAAATGATTGGTCACAACCTATCAATACAAGCCCATCAATAAAAGACTGGTTAAATAAATGAGGGTACCTTTGTATAAAGGAATGCTATGAAGTCAGTAAAAAGGACACAGTAGTTCTAGCTGTATGATATGATGTATTGCTAAGCGCACAAAGCGAGGGGCAGAGCCGCAAGCACAGTGAGTTACCCTCTGGGCAAATGATATGTATATCCTTAACCTGGTATCTCTGACATGATACTCAAAAACAAAAACAAAAACAACCACAACCACAACAGAACTAGTAAGCCATTTGCTGGAGGGGAATTTTAGAGACAGTACGCTTTACAGCCATCCCAGGATTCATTTAAAACTTTTACTCTAGCAGGGAGAGGCAAAGAAGAAGCCAGTGAATTACAGAAAGAAATCGATGACGCCACATCAAGGGGAAGAAAAATTGCCAAGAGAACTGGGTGACCGGAAATCGTGGGTAGAGATTCCCTAACTGTGGGGCGAAGTGTGGGCTTGTTCTTGAGAAGTTAACTCTGATGGGGACTTGGGAACAACAGCCCTAACACTCCAGCTCCGGAGTCAGACAGTGTCCATGGTGAAGTGGGGGACCAAGGTGCATAAGAGAGCTGAGAAAGAAGGGGACTCATTTCTAATACATACAGAACTGATGTACAAATTAACTTATTTATATCCAGGAGACAACATACCTGAATAGCGTTTATGTTAATGCTTACAGGAAATGCCCTGGCCCTCTTATATCTACATTCACATAAGATGTTAGAAGAATGCCTATTTAAGACAGCAAATAGATTAATGGTTGCCAGGGGTTGGGGAGGATGAAAAGGTGGAGCACAGAGGATTTTTAGGGCAGTAAAACTATTCTGGATGATGCTACAATGGTTCACACATGTCATTACAGTGTTGTCAAAACCCATAGAACACACAACACCAAGAGTGAGCCCTAGTGTAAGCCCTGGACTTTTGGTGCTAATGAGGTGTCAGTGTAGATTCATCAATTATAACAAATGCACCACTCTGATGACAATGGGAGAGACTGGTCATGTGCTGAGGGAAGGGGACATATGGGAAATCTCTGTACCTTCTGCCCAATTTTGCTGTGAACCTAAAACTAAACTAAAAATAAAGCCTATTTAAAAGTAGGGGGGGGTGGATGGTTCACGCCCAACACGTGTATACATCAGTGAAGCTTGAGCATCTGATAAAGAACAAAATCAATCAGTCAATGTTTGGGATTTATATTACATCTTTCTCCTAAGAGTTTAAAGGTTTTAAATGTTATTTCTTCATTTACCTTCACAACATTTACACACCTACGGTGGAACATAAATAGTGTAAAATTGGGGGAAAAGAGGCAATATTGGGAAAATGAGGCCAAGTCTCAAGGTGAACCACTTGCAGAAATAGGACTGCAATTCCACTTTCCTTCTTAATTATCCTGATTTTTTTAATGTATTAAGGCCATTTGGAAAGCAAACAATTAAAACTGCTATCCATTGTGTGCTCTTACATACGTGTGTGCATGTGTGTGTGGGTATATAAAACATGCATAAAGAGACACACTTATAATCATACACACCCAGACACATACAAACTCACTCATACATTTATACTTGAGGCAAAGAGCCAGCTCTGTCAATGCACTTAAACCAAATTTAGGCATAATAATCTGTGGATAATAATAACAGAACAGTGCAAGTGACCATGAGACTGTTATAAATAAAGAAACTCACATATGTCATCGTAATTCAGAATTCTGAGTCTGAGGTAAGTGAGAAAGAACAAACTTAAAAAAAAAATTACAAGTCAAATACACTTGTCACTGCATCCACTAAAAGGATTTAATTTAAAACTCAAACATCAGCATATTGGAAAAGGAAATGAGAAGCTAATAACATGCATTGACGTTTACATAAAATTAGTATGTAAAGTGAGAGATATGAACCTAATGATGAATATGAAGCAACCGTTTGCATTTTAACAGACTAAGCAAAAATGTAATTGACAAAGAGGCCGATCTAAATGAATTTCCAGCTACTTCAACACTAATGGCAGCTGCATGCTGTCAGAATTATAAACGAGAAAAAAATCTGTTTAAACTGGATTTCTTTAAAAAACACAGCCGATATGTGAACGTACACACTGTCCTGAAGTTATCATTCATTCAATCAGAAAAAAGCATTTTTTTCCCAAAAAGTCATTTTTTAACATCAGAGTAGTCAATATGCGGTTGCTTCATATTGACTGGAGAGCAAAGTATTTGGAGGTAAATGAAAATATTAAGGTGTTTCTGGGAACCGTAGCTGTCATTCCTGTAATTAAGTCAAGGTTAAAAACATTTGTTTTCAAGAATAATCTACCACAATAAAATTTCATTTCAAAGCCACTAAGATTACCCCACTTGGTATCTTATTAGTGGCAGTTATGAGTTCAACTCTGGCACCAGCCTTCCTGGGTTCAAATCCTAACTCTACCATTTCTTGCTGTGTGACTTTGAGCAGGTCACTTAACCACACTGTGCCTCACTTTTCTCATCGTAGTGTAAGGATGGTCACCGTACCTAGCTCCTAGGATCACTGTGTGAATGAAACGTATTCATACATGCAAGACACACGCTCCATAACTGTGAGCTGTCATTATTATCCTTGAGACAGTGGTCTCTTAGGGCAGGCATTATTTGGTGTTAAAAAACCAACAAAGAAGATGGTGGCAAGCAAGCCATGATGTTGCCGCTCCTTGTATGTAAAGAACCCTTGTTTCCTCCCACCCCTCACACTCTCTCCTGGGTAGACAGGAACCCTGGGAGTATCTCTGGCCACTTCTCCGTAAAGATCCGCTCTGGGTGGACAACTGAGTGAAGGACACCGCCCCACCCCATGGATGCTACGCAAGTGATTCTAGAACAGAGTGAGAAGCCCAGCCCGGCCGCCTCACAATGTGCTTGGGGATCTTGGCATATTTTGTCTCTACTACCATCAGTCCTCAAAGGGATGGTTTGGTGACTGATCATGCACCTGACTTTGCATTTCACCTTTATCCAGGTCCCTTAGAGTAGCCCACCAAATGTTTTATTTATCCCTGTATTTTCCAAGGTCAGGAAAAGGGCAGAGCACAAAAATCAAAGCTGATGCAGAGAGATTTCATGTTCAGTCTTCCCCTTTAATTTACTGAAAGTGCCAACATCTGAATAGAAGGAAAAAGGCCAAGTCTACAGGCATCTTGGCAGGGTGACGAGTCATTGAAAAGAGATGTGAATTCCCACATAATAAACACACCAAAGCCAGGCTCTCCACACCCTCTCAAGTCCCGTCATACTGTGACCGGACTGGCGTCCCTGCCAAGGGATAAAGGGAAGGAAAATGGGAGAAAGACACAGACTCGCTCAGCCCTGAATCACGTACAGATTCTGGTTCCACAGGAGGACAAGAGGGCTCGCCTGTGTGTGGTCAGGGCTGAGGAACCCCAAACTCTGCGGGCCCCTGAAAGGGATGCTTCTTGCTACCTGCACGAGAGAGGGAGGACATGACGTGCATGGCATTCCTCCAGGATCCAGGAAGACAACAGGCCCAGGCAAATATATCTGGAGTGAATAGGAACTCAGGGTGAAGTCAAGCACTTCCCAAACTCTGAACTTCCTTTTCCATGCTCCTCTGTGCTGAGTGCTGCTTCCTCATGACCCGAACACCTCAGACTTAGGAACTCCTACTGTCCGAAGAGGATCAGCCATCCTCATTTGCACCTTAGCATGAATTTAACCCCATTATCTCTCTCCACGTCCTTTTACTTTGCTTATGATTTCTAAGGTGATTAGAGGCTTTCTGTGCTGTTCAAATGGGGTTGGTACTGAAGCGAGTCTACCTACTTTGCTGGCACAAGATACCAGGTCTCACCTGAGGACTCAAACAGTCCTCTTTCCACATGAAATGTCTACAACAGATAATGACTTTTAACCTAAATTCGACTTTGCAAAACAATACACTGAACAGACTAATGCCTTTATAGCTTCAAATACCAGAGAAAGACAACAATCCTTTAAACGTAAAAGGAAGCACCATATGGGAAAGAAATGCCAGAAAACCTAATTGCTAGTCCAGTATGAACACGCCCTCACCACGTAACCACAGATACGGCACTCGAAGTTTCTGGGCCTCAGTCTCTGGTGACAGAATTAATGGGTTCAATACCTATGTAAGGTTCCTTTCCACTCAAAAATCTCACAATCCATTGGTTATTTTCAGTTCAAGTAATTTCAGACATCATGACAGCAAAAGTTCATTTGCATCCAGAAATGAATATGAACAATGTGATTAAAGATATAAAAAGGGACTTTTAAAATGTAGCATGAGAATGACAAACGGAACAGAAAATGCTGGAGAATTAAGACACTTTTCCCTTCAGTCCATTATTATAAGATGCCTGACCTAATACCATTAGTGGGTTGTTTTTTTTTTTTCTTTTTACACCACAGTACAGCAAAGTGAACTCCCAAATGTGTGAACAATAAGGATCACAGCCTTGGGCTGAATGCTACCTCTTAGAGATCAATCAAGTGCAGGTGCCCAGAACAACGTGGATACATGAGAGAACGCATCCTCTAGGGTCACTTGGGAGTGAGCGCTCACCTTCCACCAGCTGGTCCAGGCTGGAAATCTTCTTGAGCCCATCAATGGTGTAGATTGTTCTCACTCCCTGGGGCAAATTCACGTTATCCGACAGAGTTCGGGTCAAGTCAGCCAGCAGGGCCTCAAAAGATCGGAAGCGGTCTGGGGAGATGGCATACACAATCCCTTTGAAGTATCTGTCTCCATTTCGATAGAAACGAACTTTCTTGGCCTTCTTCTCTGAGCTGAGGGTCTGCAGCGTGCGGGTTCGGTAGAAGCTGCAGTGGGCGCTGTGCGTTGGGCTGGGCAGCCCGTTCACCCGCGACCCTCTGCTGTATCTCTGAGCCTTATCCCGCTCGTCAAAGTGTTCCAGCTCCATGTCTCTGCCGAAGGACATGACGGAGTTAAAGTGGAACCTGGGAGGCACAGAAGGAAAAGAAAAAAAAACAAACAGAGACACATACTGATGTTATTTTAAGACCACGGTATGAAAGGCTCAGCTCAAGAGCAGCTGGTGGAACTATTGCTGTAATTGATGATATATTTAATATGAGTTATCGAGTTGGAAGAGAAGGAAGACAAGGAAGAAGCAGAAGAGGCAGCCCCTGTGGAAAGAACTTATCAATCAACCCCAGTTTAGTTAGAAACAGCTCCTATGGAGTGACCACCTCCCCCTTTCAGGCTTTGAACAGCTGTTATTTCCAAGTCACAACAAACCATTCAGAGTAGTATTATCCCTATCTACAGATGAAGAAAACGAGGCACGGAAAAATTTCTCCGAAATGCTCGAACCAAGTCCTCCCACCCAGGTTTGCTTGACTCCAAAGTCCAGACTTCCCTACAGGGTGCTCACTCTGGTGGCAGATGGAAGATAAGCTTTCATATTACCATAGGGCTGATAATAAGAAGTGGTGCTGGGCCGGGAACCAAAAGGAGGGGCTCAGCATTTAACAGGTTATAAATCAGTTCACGAAGTTTTGTGCTCCCCCTGGCCAGATAGAGAGCAAACTGAATCAATCCCCAGCTTCTACCAGCTTAAGAATGTCCAACATATTCACATATTCCATAGCAGCTTTTTTAAAAGTGATTTCACCATAACTCATTTGCTTACATTTCGTGCTTCAGATAAGTTGGGTTAGAAAAAGCAGAAAAAGTTTGTGGAGGAAGAGGAAAAAGAACAGAAGGGATAAAAGTTACTTTTGGGAGGGCTCTGCCTTTCTTTCCACTCTGTTTTCGTGGTTGAGGGAATTGAGGCTTAGAGATGTTGATCAAGTACTTCTCAAGGTTGGTACAGGATCAAGTTTGGATCAACATCTTTAAAGCCTTGCTTCCTCAACCACACATAGGAATGCCAATCATACCTACCTCATAATTAATATTAAGTATGAATACATGAAGCACTTGGGAGGGTGTCTAGCATGTGATAAGTATTAATGTTTTTTATCAATAAAATCTGCTTTTCTGTTCTTAACTCTGTCACAGAAAGAACTAGTAGGAATAGAATCTCCCCCTTCTGGTAAGGAAAGCTCCTTGGGAGTCTGCCTGATTTTCCTCTCATGACCTTCTGAAAGATATGCTTGCACCCCCATGGTCCCCATTTTACTTTCTATGGAGCGCCGTCACCAGCAAGCTGCCTGTGAGATCAATTCATCCTTGCTAAGGGGTTAGGTGATAAAGGCTTGTGATGTTGACCCTTGCAGGGGATCAGGATTTTAAAGGTCAATCTAGAAAACATTCAAAGGAAAGAAGTTTCGATGACAAAATTTCTGGCATGTTGAAATACAATAATATAGGGAAATGGAAAATCTGGGGCAAGAACCTTATGAGTGCTCCCCAAATCCCACCACACAGATGATGCTGCCTTTCTGAAGGTCAGTCCAAACTAACCAAAAGTACTGCCAAGCCTCCCCGACCTTTCCTTGACCCTGAGTAGACAACCTCTGATCCATTCAGAGTAGCTCAAAATTCATGTTTAAAAGCATTGCTAGAGATTGTGGACTCCCGAAATGAAGTGGAAAAAGCTAGGGTTTATTGAATGTCTATGATGTGCCTGGCACTACTATTCAGCAATCAATTGCATAATATGCTAAAAATTCCCTTCTAAACCTCACAGCAATCCAATGAGGTCGGTAATATTATTATGACTGAAGGCAAGTACGGGATAGATCCAGGGTCCCAGAGTCATAATTGAGGGAGTTGGGATTTGAACCTAGGTTTACTCAGACTGACTCTGAAGCTGGTGCTCCCTCCTTTCTGCCCCATGCGCTGTGTCTTAGAGGCCAGGCCCCCTGAGAGCCTCCCTAGACCCCTTCACCCATAAAAATAGGGGTGTTTAAAGCCCTCACTCTTAACTAGGTCTGTGACCTTGGGGAGGCCACTTACCTGAGGAAGGTCCTCTGCAGACAGAGGGGGCAGTGGTCACCAGGCCGCTAAGGTCTTCACCTGCTCATCATTCTACTGCTGACCCGGAGGGGTGGGGGGGCAGAGTGGGACTCAAACCTGGACCGATCATTAGTTCAGTGTATTCTTTTCCTCCAAACATGAAAACTACCTCATGTCTCTTAATAACTCATAATAGCCTAAATTTGTATTTTCCAGAAAAAGTGACACCATACATAGGTATATATGAACCAGTTTCATTGATTTTGAAGTTGGATAACTTCAAAACAGTGATCCAGTTCTTGAGGCAGCTATTAACTAACAGAACCAATATTAACTAAGTAACAGAACCAACCATTGCCCATGGTATCATTGCTCCTACTTTTTTTTAATCTCCTCTCAACATGAGCTCTTTTGTATTCCAAAAGGGGTGTGTGGTCGGTGGCGGGGTGGGGGGGGAGTACTCATACAACCTCGCTAAGCTCTTCAAACTTCGCCTATTATAAAGGCCAGGTTGGCTTTTGAAGCTTCTGTTTTATTTTTAAAGGCAGTAATCCATCTTCCAACCCGAGGGGTTTCCTCGCAAATCTATATGAACCAAGAGACAACAAGCAGGACCACAGCAAAGGATGACACAATTGTGTCACCAGAGAGTGCGGATGTAGTCTGAAGGGGATTTTACCGATCTACAATTTACAAAAGCCAAATAATTTAGCAACTGCTGGAATTCCCTAGAGGAATCAGGCTTTTAGAACCAAGAGTTCTACACCAAATGAAAAAAAAAAAGTCAATTTTAAAATAGACAAAAGTTGATTTTGTTTTATTTGTGTATTTCTTCACACTTGATCGTGTATGTTCAACCAGGACAAGCACATCTCTGACTTCCCTTCTGAGCCTGCCCAAAAGGAAGCAATGATGTTGGTGACGAAGAAAAACCACACTCAAAGTGGAATCATTTTCAAGGCTACAGCTACCACTAAATGAATGTCAAAAGCCACACTACACACCCTAATGTTCCCATAATTATGTGCAACATCAAAATAGGTGTTCCTTCTCTTGCCTGGGCTGGCTCAGCTCTGCAGTTGGCTTACTTATATAGCTGAACCACGAGCTACTGGAGATTCCCTGGGCTTCCACAGGTTCTTGCTTCCTGCCCAGGAAACCACTAAGGCACAGAGACACACATTCACAGCCCATCGATGGCCAGGGCCCTGGGCACACATGCGTCACGGTACCAAGAAGGTAACCGCACGGCCGGAGCCACAGAGATCACAGACACTGGGAGGGGAAGAAGGGGGCCTGGCTCTTATCAGAGATTTTCCTATAAACACCTCCATGCCAAGAAATCAGAATCCTCAATTGTCTTCTGTGGGATTTCTCACCATTTTGAGGAACCTCTGTGTTCATCATTCTCTAGATAAGGATATGAGTTCCTGCTTCAGAGATATCCACAAACACACACACACACCCCAAGAAATAATTCATCATAAAGATTACCACATCGAAACAGATGCTGGACCTGGAAGTCCCAAGGGATATTTTGCCAGTGGGATTAAGATGCAGGTGGACGGGCAGGGGTGGAATAAGAGGCGCGCGCGCACACACACACACACGCACACATACACACACACACACACCCCTTCAGAGGGCATGCACCACCTCGGACACAGATATCACAGGATGTGTACCAATCTTTTATAATGTTCCTACATATAACCCCTCTTAAAATCCCTTCTGACCACCTTCATGTGACATTTCATACTTTAAAGCTTGTCCTACTTTCCTTTCCAGTGGAAAGGCGATATATTTAGGAACATTCATAAAGCGTATTCACGGAACACCCTGCAGTGTGGCCGCTAAACGCGTGTGCACCATAATCTAGACACACACTCACAGGTGCGGAGAGAGGGAGCCGGTTGAATGAAACCTTTCATTTGCTCCATCTCTTACAAGCGTTGCCTTTCCAAATCCAGCAGTGATTCCGCGCAAACCTGGTTTTCAAAAGCAGCCTCTTTTGTGGGGCAATGCCGGGCTGTGCGTGCGCTCCCACTAGGAGGAAAATGCCATTTCCTCTCCGCATGCTTTTAGCACTGCAGGTACTAATTTGTACTTGAGGCAGCCTCGCTGTCCCTGAAGGAACTTGAGACCCTGCAAATGTACTTGCAACACCCACACTGCAGCCACCCACCACGCACAGATCGCCCCATCTTCAAGCACACCACCCTCCGGGCACACAGGAAAGCACACACACAATAAGAGGCCTGGCCCGGCCACTCCTTCTAGGCGCAGACTTGGTCCTCGCTCCGCGGCCAGTTCTGACAATGACAAACACCTCGCCCAGCTCCTCCGCCCAGGCTCTCCATCTCCACTAACAGCGTGGCGAAAAGCCTGGCGGGGAGGGTGGGGGGCGCGCGCCCTACTCCCCGTTTCAAGCCCGGTGGCACCAGACAAAAGAGGCAGGTGCCAGCAGCCCCGGGGCCGCCCGTACACACTGGCCACGGCAGGGCAGCGCCTTTCGAGGAACGGCGGGCTGGGTGGCGGCGGCGGGCCGAGGGGGGCGCCCGCCCTGCCCTCCACGCCCCGGGCTACCTCGGCGCCCCGCGGCTGCGGGAGGAGCGGGCGCTGCGAGCCCCCAGCGGAGGCCCCCCGCCACCCCCACCCTTCGGCCGGCCCTGCCCGCAGCTCCCTTCCCCAGCCAAGGCAAAGCACGCACCGGTCCGCGGAGAGACGCCGCCCGGGGTCTTTGTGGCCGCGCTCGGGGCCGCCTCCTGGTGCTGTCCTCACCCGGC